TTATTATTATTATCATATTAGAATCTTGTGAAAAGGTTCAAAATGTATGGCACCTGGTACCACACTCTAATCAGCTAATTAACTCAAACCACCTGCAAAGGCCTTTAAATGGTCTTTCAGTCTAGTTCTATAGGCTACACAATCATGGGGAAGACTGCTGACTTNGTTCTCTGCCTTCTCCAGCCAGGACTGGTTCCAGGAATGAGCAAAGTCCACCAGCAGGATGAGCTGGATGATGATGAAGATGAAGGATCCCACCACACCAAAGTAATACCACACTGAGGACAGGCAGCAGACAGCTCTGGATGAGTTAAATCAGTGGGTAGGCACCGCCTCACTTCCCAACACTTCATACCTGTATTAAAGGTGCCGTCTGGAATGAAGAACGCTCCCACAGTTATACCAACCAGCGCCAGAAACTTGAAGAACCAGAATCTGAAACAACCAAGTCATCTTAGTCTTTAAAGAATAAAAACCAAATCCTAATATTAAAAGGAATAATTTGTGTACACCAACTTTCATGCCACACTACTACAATAAGAACACATTTATGATTAGAAATAATAAAGTTACAGAGATTTTGGGTGAAACATTAAAAATAAAGTTCCACACAATAACAAGGTGGCACACTCAGAGCAACACYCAGCTGAGAGTCAAACTTTAGCTCTTCTGTAAAAGGGAGCTTTAGCCATTTTTATGTTTGTTCATGTTGAACTGGACCAAGTCAAAAGGTGAATTTTTTGAAGATCCAATGATTAATTTCTGAAAGTTGAAGTGAAACCGAGCCCACTGTACCAACCCGTTCTGCAGGGCAGCTCGCGGGTCCTTGCTGCTGCGCACTCTGATCATGATGATGGAGAAGAGGAAGAAGAAGCAGGCCATGGCGAAGCACATGCGATAAACGGACTTATAGCCCACCATGACATCACAGTTGACATGGTTCTGTATGCCAGGTATACTGCTGCCACCCACACAGAAACCTGGGATCTGATCATGTGACAGGACACTGGTGAGATCACTGACCTGAGTCAACAACACTTGTGAACAATAAACCCATTTATCCACCACTATAACTTTACTTTACTTTGAAATGAACTGACAAGACCAGACGAGACAATGTACCTTCTTCAGATGTTCCTCCATTCCTGGGAGGATCATGATGATGGACACCAGAGTTCCCAGCACCAGCAGGAAGGAGAAGGCCAGCCGGCTGATGGTGGAGTTGTATGTGGAGGGGCAGCATGAGGACAGGAGGCAGGAGGCGGAGCCACACAGACAGGASGCCTGCAGGAGGGATGAAGAGTTAAACAGAGCAGAGGACGTTCAGATCAGCTGCTCACATTAAAATTGGGAAAATAAACCAAACTACAAACATCTGACTTTCTGTGAAAAGGCAACGTGAACAACTGAATGAATGAATGAATGAATGAATGAATGAATGAATGAATGAATGAATGAATGAATGATGACATTTTTGGAGGAAGCTAAAACTGAATTAGCAAGAGTTCAAATGAGCAGGAAAGCGGCTCATGGGTAAAACCAGCAAACAGAAGCTAAATGTGAGCCATCATATCGAAATGAGGATTAAGTCAAATTTGGTCAAAATGACCTAATTACAT